TATTCAATTGATGGATGGTGACTAGCAGTGGAATCCAGAATGCGCATTTCGTCCTATTTGGGACTCATCCACTGGATGCTTTTGATTGACTTTACTAAACATAAAAGTGAACTTTCAAGTGATATTTATTAAAAAAAAACATGACAGCCATCTTGAAGAAGTTGACTAGTATATTTTAGATTCATGTTTCTACTTAGTTGTAGAATTGTCGCGTGAATTAAGTACTAATTTAGGTCAATTTCTAAAGGAATCGTAAAACATCAGTCTAATTGCAGTTGATTCATAACAAATGGAAATAAAACAAACACATTAGGACTAATTTGTCCCATTACCTTTTGTTTCTTTTTTAACTTATCTGTATCAATCAGACAGTATTAGTAATTATCTAAAGTGTGAAAATCTATTTTACAAGAAATTTGATTGATTTGTAAAGTCCGTTGAGTTATTTGACTGGCATTGGCTGTATATATAAGCCGTTTGAACTGATAACTCAGTATTCATTCAGACATCTATAAAACACAAAATAATTGTCAAGTATTGGTTTTGTAGGGATTTTGTTTGATAATGGAGAATCTAATCATGAGCTGACATCAGTTAGAGAACCACTGGAAAACCTACAGGGAGTACCGAACATCCGTTTCGTCCTGATTTGGGACTCTTCAGCAGTACGCAAACACCGGGGTTCGAACCCAGGACCTCCTGGTTACAGGGTGAGCTCGTAGATCATTGAGCCATGAGGACCCGATCCAATGGTCCTTGAATTTTAACTTCTGGCAATTCACGACATAGCCCGACCATTTCGAGATGTCTTCCTTGATGAGTTACTGCCCCAGCTGTCCAGTACTCATAGGTTTTCCAGTGGTTCTCTAAATGATGCCAGCTCACGATGAAATTCTCCATGAAATCAAACAAAATCCGTACAAAACCAATACTTGAAAATTAATCTAATGCTCACTAGCGACTGGCCCTATTCAGGCATTTACCTGGGGTTCTAGTGGGAAGCCGTAACAGTAAGTTACAGCAGTTGAGATGGGGCAGTAACTCATCGAAGAAGCATTGGGAAGTGGTCGTGCTATGTCATGAATTGGCAGAAGTTAGAATTCAAGGACCATTGGATCGGGTCCCAGTGCTCAATGGTCTAGCTAGCTCGTTTTGTAACGAGAAGGTCTGGTTTGAACCGGTGGTTGGTACTGTGAGGATCCCAAACTAGGACGAAACAGCTGTCCAGTACTCCAGGTTTTCCAGTGGTTCCTCAAATGATTCAGCTCATGATGAAATCCTCCATCCAATCAAACAAAATAATTGAGCAAAGAATATCCTTTTCGATAAATTCCTCTTCTGGCTCTACAATTATATATAATGTATGTTTATATACATAGAATATTCTAGATTAGTAGTCAAATTGACTCAATTCAAACGTGTATTACTGAGTTATCGAAGAACGTAACAGAAAGATCTTATGCTGTCGACGAATTACCAGAAAACAAACAATCTTTAGATTATGTGGATGTAATTGTGAGTAATAGGAAAGAAAAGAAACTCATGAAGCTGTTATTACAGAGTTTGGAGAACAAGGCACCTGAAACAAGATTTCCTTCGAACCAAAATCGTTTTGTGTTTAATTTTTCGGATGTAATGCTTAGTGAAGTGGATCTACCGGTTTTATCGTTTGGCCCTAAATTTTGTGATAGCCATGTAAAAATTAACAAAATGGATGTACAAATTCATTTCGAAAGTCTCTACACTCAAATGGAAGGCCTAACACCCTCATCAACTGGCGATGTTGGAAGACTTAAATCAACACTGGTCGATTGTTACCATTATTACATGAAAAGTAAACGCAATTCGTATAGTATTTTGACCAAAAAACATAAAGAAGCTCTGGATGTTCTCCGTAAGAATGATAACATGATAATAACAAGACCGAATAAGGGCTCAGGAGGGGTTATCATGAACAAAGTGGACTACTTTGAGAAGATGAATACTATTCTTAATGATAATCTAAAATTCCAAAAAATCTCGTCTTCTTTGGATACGATTGTAAAAAAAAGGATAGAGAAACAGTTAGCGGAAACTTTGAGAAGACTGAAACAACAAGGCTTCATTTCACAGAGTCAGTATACATCACTTTAATCCACTGGAACGTTCACACTAAGACTAAATGGCTCGCCTAAAGTGCACAAAAATGGTGTATTACTTCGACCAGTATTAGATATGCTAAATTAACCATACCATCCCGTAGCCAAATGGTTAGTTGAACTCTTAAAGCTTCTTTATATCGAGTTGGTGAAACACAGTGTAAAGGATACTTCTTATGGATTTGTTGAAAGGATAAAATATTTAAATGTCGACAATAAATTTATGATATCATTTGACGTATCTTCCTTATTCACCAATGTACCAATTATGGAAACAGTAGACATTGTATGTGAAGAACTCATAAAATGAAACATCGATATTAGCATTTTTATATCTTCTATGAAAGAGCTTCTCTTGAAATGTACAATGAATGTCCACTTTTTATTTAATAAGGAACTATACAAACAAATCGATGGTGTGGCATTGGGGTCACCACTAGAACTAATTCTAGCCGACATTTTCCTTGAGAAACTAGAAAATGGGCCTTTGAAGGATGTTATTAATGAACTCGAATTCTATTGTCGGTACATGGTTGATACATTTTTGATTATGTAAAATGAAAAGGAAGCAAAGTACATCCTGGCTAAATTTAACGAGGTTCATCCTGCAATAACTTTTACTATTGAGAAAGAAAAAGACTCTATTATTTCATTTCTAGACGTCCTTATGACTAGAAAAGAGGATGGAACAATAAGAAGAAGTATATATAGAAAACCTACATCAACAGGTCAGTATACTCATTTTCACAGCTTTGTGCCCTTGAAATACAAATGCAATCTGATAAAGTGCCTGGTTCATAGACCAAGAGCAATTTGCTCGGATGAATGTCTTGATGAGGAACTTAATATTATTAAACGGTTGCTAAGTGAAAATGGTCATCCAGAAAAGTTTATTGATAAGAATATGAATGTAAAATCAAAGCAGCCCGAGTTACCAACAGTCCCAAAAAGGTCGTATTCTTACAAATGGAGTTTCTTGGGGACAACATTAGAGACATACTAACATAGCGCCTTAGAATTGCGGTAAAAAGACTATTCCTGCTGTCGAATTACGTTGTGTCTTCAAAACCACTCCTCTTTAGCATTCGGGAGTAAAAGACAAACTACCTAATTTTACCTCCTTCATGTGTATCTACCAATTTATCTGCTCCTGTGGAGCCAGTTACAGCTGTACAATTAGGCGTGTCTCTCGTTGAATTTCCGAACATCACCCTGCTTATAGTGGTTAAGTAAAGGACAAACAAAATCTATTCGCAGCGCTATTCTGTCTCATCTTGTGGATACAGAACACAATAGTGACGTTAATCATGTTTTCAGGGTCATTTACCGTATACCTGCGAATCTCAAATTCGCCTTGAGAGTTCAACTACTAAATATTGCTGAGGCTGTTGGGATCAATATAAACTAGACTAATTTTACTGTCAGCTATTACTAAAATAAATAATACTGACTTGAAATATTGAGGCTTTCGTACAATGGACTCATACACAAATTAAATCAACACGGAATTATGATATTTCAGTCAGGCAAGAAAAATTATTATTAGAGTGATAATTCCCATCAATCTGAAGAAATAAGTAACGAAAGGCTTAATTGCTGTATAATTAATTTAGCTACAAGCATTTGTAATGTTTTTTGTAGAATAGACTCATGTTATTTTGTTTGTTATGGTAATTGCCAGTTATTGTATCAGCCAGATCACAATATAGGATCTGAATATATTATCGGGGCTTCCAAAAGAAACTGTGGTGAATTCTCACCTTGAACTGTGTAATTAGCAAAATGATGGAATGTTTTCTGATGAACAATGAATCTTGAAGAATCAAGCTGTGTCGCGTGCTACTGACACGATTTATCAGTAGTATATGAAGAGATGTTCATCGCATTAAATGCAACAAATAGCTGGCAGGTAGATAGATTTGATCTCAGAGAAAGTAAGTGATACAGTGTTGTGCAGATATGAGGGAGAGGTGAAAGGAACACAGAGAAACACAATATGAAGGAAGGAAATTATTGTATACGCTGGTGGTTTTGTGGTAGAATACTCACACTGACCACGCACGTGGTCCGTGTTCGACAACTGGTCGCCGCATAACTAAACCTCGCCTAGTCAGTAGTAAGTGTGACAGAGACAACAGGTTGATCATGAAGCTACTAACCACATAAACCACTTCCAAAACTTTAAAGCACAGGTTTAAAGACCTGTGTCCCACTCAGAACGAAAAAAGAAACACAGCAAAAAACGTTAATATGTCAAGAATTGATTGGGGAAAGAAGACATTAGGATCTGGTTTGGTGTCTGACTGTTACGACCTGTACCTTTTATCGGATGGTGAGCACTCGTTGTTGATGAGTACTAGGGTGGGATGAAACAGTTGTAATGATTTTCATGGATTACTTAGTCAACCAGTGTCCTGGACATTTCTCAGCCCAGTGAGCTTGCATTTCAATATAATGATGCTTTCTGAGAGGATAAAACTCAAAACAGATGCAGGAACTAACCAATAAGCTACAAGACCAGTAAAACACAATAACAGAAATCTCAACCAATGCTTATCCTTCTACCTTATTCTGATCACTATTCAACTATTTTATTAAAATTATGTGATCAACATCACCGTGAAAATATTCAATCCAATCCAACGGGTTATTTCTTCCACCAATGATATTAACATGACAACAATAAATATTACAGCTTTTTAATGAGTCTTTTGGGTCAATCACGTGGTTGGTTTGGTAGAAAGTATGACAACTATTTTGATTGGCTCACATTCCTCCCACGTGAATTGCATCCTTGTTTTAGGCATATACTCTACTGTCATTGGTTAGTCGACAAACACGCGAATGTGAATATAAATGAAATAAAAGTGAACCTGATCCAGAGTTGATTACACATTCTCTCGCGTTACTTGTCGTAGTGATAATGTCCTATGTCCCGATAACCACATATCGTGTGGACGAAGCACGTGTACCACGTGTTTATTGTTCATCAAGTGGGATTACGTCAGAGAATCTATTATCGGGATCTGATATAGTTGATTCTTCAACTTCACAAAATGATGAAATGTTTTCAAAAAGAGGTAGACGATCGACTATACCGGTGGAGATTAGAGAAAAAACACGTCGAGTAAGTTCGTCTGTTGTATAAATTTGTCGAAATAGGTTTCTTAATTTGTACTATTCCTTATATATGGTGTGTTTTACATTGATGATTATGTTGCATTAGGCACCTAATATGTTCGGTTTCCAAGTGAGAGGAATACTTGAAGCTGTAGACTTTGTAGTTGCAGTGGCTCTTGTAGGGTTTGTATAGGGTTGGGAGGGTAGTCTGATGCCAGTCAGCCTTGGTGAAGTTAAAGTATCATACTCAAAGCCGAGGTCTGCGGAAAGTTGGTCTTGGAGAACGAGTCAGACCCAGGGGACGCTGTGATAGGTCATTCCAAATGAAATTATGCTTGCATTTTGGATTTGGCAAGGGTAGATACAGTATTCTAATTATCCTCCGGGTGCGTTCTCTCTAAATCTATATTGTTAACTGGGGATATTTCTTTTTAGGTCAGTGTTTAGGATGTGGAGTAAGTGAGGTAAGAAATTAGGTTGAAGTTAGGAGTAGGTGTAGGGACTGTCAGAAATATGAGCCGATATGAAAGTATCACTACCTGGAGTCACCTAGATGAATACATCTATCGCGTATGGTGTGATCTCTCTACAGATCATCTGTGCTTTAACTGTAAGACATCCTTAAACTCATAAGCGACAATCAGATGGTGTAATATCATGTCTGCAATGTGTTTTGGTGCATTTTCCAAAAATTTGTATGTGACTCTTGTATCTGGATTGTGATTGGTTCTTCAAGGTCTCCGCAATTTTGGCTAGGATGTTTTAACTTTGAATAACTTCCACTGTTTTCTAGTTCTACTTCTGGTTAAAGGAGGTTTTGGAGGCTTTCAGTTGAGATTCGAACACTGGGGGACGTGTTTCGCTGGGGTACTCTTTGTTGTTAGGCTATACAGACCTAATTACATGGAGAAGAAATCCAAATGATGGAAGTTATATAACGGATGAAATTTTGAAGAGATTACTATCGATATTGGTTCTATGCTTTAGCTTACTCCAGAATCTCAGTCCTCTGAGGAGACAGGTTATCCTACTAACTTCCCCCCTCCATATACGGTTTGGTAATTATAATTGGTTGACTGCTTATTCACGACAGCCAGACATTCGATATCCTGGAATCGGTTGTGCGAATCGAGGACAGAAGATAAGCCTCTAAGAATGGTTGGTTTTCAATGGGGCGCTACATGTTGAGTTAATATGTCACCGACACACAGACGTTAGTCAGTGGTTAATCGGAGATTCGTCACAGGCCTATGTAATAATGGTATAGATGGTAGGGGTAGAGATTGAGACTTGTGGTTAACGACAGATGCCTTCAAGCTTGTTTTAAATCTTTCCTAGTAACTATATAATCTTGTCTAATCGCTTCTTGACCGAGTCGACTAAGATCGCTAATTTTTTTGAGTGGTTTCGAAGATTGCATGACTAGATGGATGAACAAGTACTTCATAGCAATGTAGTTCTTCCATGTCTTTTCAACTCTCCTGTTATGTTCACTTAAGTGTTCCGACATTGTATGAAAAAGAGGAGAAAATAGACCAGTTTATTTTGGTGTAATGTGCTGAAATTGAGTGGTCAACTGTTCGAGGTAGAAATTGCTAAGTAGAAAATACACTAAGGCTTTATGGAGGATAAGGCGTATTATTTATAATTTTCTAAGCTAATCAATCAGTTGTCAGTTGACGTCATCGATTTATTGATCGGATGTCTATAGGCTTTTCCGCAGTAGCAATAGTACTAAGTGACTTCCATTTAACACATCAGTTTCCCTTTACTAATATTATATTATTTTATTGCAAGAGAGAAGTAGTCTAGCCATTAAAAGATTCTAGTGTCACCTTAAAGTGTGTGATCAGAGCGGTGAATGAGTGGAGAAACATGGTGATATACAGTTATCTCGGCGAATTCGCGTACAGAAATTAGTTTAGAGTGACTATAGGGACTGGTGTCGGCAATTGGGAGCTTTTCTTGGAACATTTACCATACGTATAATTATTTTTCATACTAAACACTTCTACTTTGGACACGTTTGATTGGCCGATAGAGATTTGTCAAGGTTTTCATTATGTAGTTTCATATTGGGCAGCTATAGTTTAGAGTCACGTAACACTGTGTAAGCCTTACGAAATCAACTTATTTAATGTGGAATTATATTCTTCCACCACCACATTGCCTAAACTCTACACCCAAATTAAATCTACTTATGGTTTTCCTGTTCATCGGTGGCAGGTGGGTGTGTGGGTGACTTTTCAGTGTTCTCAAAATTTATTGTTCCTTAGTGTTTGATTATTGACTCGTTCAGTTAACTAGTTATCTAACTGATAACTGTATTTTTTCACATTTCTTTTGGTTACATAAATTAGCTTAAAAAACAGAATATGGAACGTCGACGACGTGCTTCCATCTCAGATAAAATGAAGGCTTTGCATAGTTTAGCTATGGAGGTGATTGGAATTAATGTGAGTCCATGTGGTGATTTCTGTTATGATATTTCCTTATTGGTTTTTATTATCTTTGTTGTTGTAAGTAGTTTCGGTGTAAACGCTGTTGATACATGTAACACGATTTCTCGTTTGACGAGGCGTTCACTTCAGTTAGAGAAATAAAAAAGGTTATTGGAGAGTTGTTTCGTCCCAGTTTAAGACTCTGCATCTGTACCATCTTATGACCACACCAGTGAGGATGCTGAGGAAGTTCAGGTTATCAGGTGAACTCGTATGCTGTTCGGGTATTTGGATGGATTCAGATGGCCACGAAGAGGTGGAATTCATAGAAGATTCGATTCGATTTCAGTGACCTAATAGCCAGTGGGAATGTCTCTCGACTTGAATGTGCTTGATTCTATTCCCGTCGGAGTCATGTCTGCGTACTTCTGAAGAGTCTTAGTTCATGTAATTAGTTAGCTGTGTATTTTGTGTAATGTGAATTACCTTCCCTACACCTTTAATTTATATGACCCGACGAACAGATGTGATAACTTTCATGTATTCTGATATTTTTGCATGCAGTGTTTCATATCGTATAGTATATTTAGTTATTCTTATATCTCGAAATGAACTGTACCATCTCTTTGAGAATTTAGGTGGAATGATGACTTTAAAGTCACTGAATTAATGATGTGGATATTATCCAGGGTTGTTAATCGGTTTTTCACTCCTTTTGTGTTCCTATGGGGAATTGAAGCTTGAGCTCTGGAGTTTTTGTAACAATAATGTAATTTTTCCTCAGGGTGGATGAATTTCTAGCCTCATGCTCCACCTTTTTTCTTCTTACCCGATGGACTACCGGCTAAATGAGGTTTCGGAATACGTCGGCGGTCGGCACTCCTGCTCGGAGCACATGTGAACCAGCAATGCATACATTCTATAACTCTTGAATTTTATTCTCCGTCTCACTGAAAATAAATTTCTCAATGTTTTCACACTCTTCAGTTCTTCATATTTTATCACATTATTCTTCTGAAATATATTATAATATTCCACATGATTACACATGTATCGAATCATCCGTTATTTCAAAATGTGTTCTTGTGAAATATACATCAGTAGTACTCTCTCACTATTATCACATATTGACATTTATCACTAGTTTGAACATACGGATACATGAGTATAGGTGTGTTATACACATGAATGCATCATCCACGCCCATCATTACTATTATTATTATTATGATTATCATTATTGTTCACACTTCCCACCTCTGTGTTGCAGTGATGTGATGGACAATGAGTGAGTGTTGGATTAATTACACTAATTACTCCTTTTTGTCATCGTTGTTGTTTGTGTTTCCCCAGTTTTATTTCTCTTAATAACCGAAAATATAATCAACCAACTAATATCAGCGTCATAGATTAGTTACATAATGAATAATATAAACATTTTCTCGCCCACTATTCAGATTTGTTTGTTTTTTGTTGTTGAATTATTATGATTTCACATTTTGTTTGGTCAAAAATTAAGGAGGCAAAAGAAACTCGAGGTGGTGTGTAAACAGGTTTATTCCAAACCAGTGAACATCGGTGTTGTTTCCACCGATGTCTGTTATAATTCCAGTATTATTTTATGTATATACTCTTCACACAGGAACTTAGACACTTGAAAAATGCTTGAAACGTTTAATAACTTGACTGACGTTGAAGTCATTTCCTCTGTTCACCAGAATCTTGTTTTTTATTAGTAAAAATCAGTGGTATGACAACTCATAGCTTTTACATGCCTCTCCTTTCCTTTTTAGTACTCGCTATCTTACTTGTCAGTACAGAGCTCACCAGAATGAATAGTATTCAGTTGAACTGAATAATCAGAGATAAGGCTGAAATTATTGATTCCTTCTTTTCAGCATCAAAATAGACAACTAATACCTTTTTGTTTTGTTTTCCTTCCCATAATTTCAGCCTGATGAGAGTCAGAAACTTGAGAAGGTTGATCTTTTAAATCTGTGTTACACCGTATTCGAACGAGTTGCTGATATCGCTAAAGATAAACCTGGTAAGTGTGTGACAAAGGCGTGCAAAAACTTTTTGAAGGCGAGGAGATTATTTTGACTTGAGTATTAACCACTTGAAGCGGCGTCTTAGTTTGGTTTGTAATTTTTGAAATACACTGAGTTGCTGGCTGGCTGGCTACCAATGGAGTAATCGATATCATGTGTTTGAGTTGACGGAACTGCTTCCGCCAAGTTTGGAATATAGTCAGCATGCTAGATGAGTGTCGATAACCAAAACGTCTTCACACTGCGTGACACCATTTTCACAGAGACATCTGTTTAGCGTATTACTGTGGAGCGCACTTATGATGCATTACTTACAAATGAAGGGGATACCATTGGTAACAGAGTAGATGATCCTGAGACTTTCGATTTTGTTGATTAGAAGTCTGTTAGTTGAAATGATTTCATCTTGTATTGTATTCAGATCTTAGTTATTGTATATTTAGTAGTTGTTGACGTTGGCTACAAAATGTAGGGTATGAGTTTCCTTGTCTGTCGGACTGGTCATTTAAGGCGTAATTACAAAAGTAATGTAGATTGTAGTCAAATAGTGTAGATACTGAGCACGCCGGATGTCCCTTTTCAAACTTGTTGGTATTTGTTTGGTGGTGAATAAACAATAAAATCCAAGTGTATTTGCATTTTGTTCTCGTCTAACACTGAACGGTCGAAGGTTTATGTATATTACTACATCCAGTGAGGATATTTGGACAACGGGGAATTGTTAAAGTACACAGAATCAGTTCACGTTACCTATATTTTGATGGGATTGTTTTGTGACGCCGAAGAAGAAGACAAAATTGAAATGAAGGATTAAGATCTCGAAATAGAATAGTTTTTCTGTGATTAAGGATTTCTCACTTTCTATATCAGCTGTGGGTGTTGTAAAAATCATGACGAGAATTCTATCACTGAGTTTATGAACCAGTTACTGATACGAACCATTTCAACATGTCATACAGAATGACTTGATGTTTATTATCTCTTCTCTGTCTTTCTTCATTTCTTCATAGAACTACAAGCCCGTTTGAAGAAACTACGTCATAGTTTGTATGAAGTGACATCTTCCTGTCCTACCAGGAATGACATTCCATCCTCCTCCTCCTCCGCCTCCTGCCGCTCCTCGTCATCATCATCCTCGACATCAACATCACGATTGACGTCAGTGACGAAGAAACTGGATGAATTCACTGAATCGTTGCATAAAGTAGCAATAGCAGCAGGAAATCGAAAAAAGACTATGCGTCGTCGTCGTCGGTGATGAATAAACCTTCTGGAGAAGAAGAGGAATATTCTCTTATGAATACTAATTCATCTTCTAAAATAACACGAATACTACCATCGTCTTTCTTCCAATCAAATTCCACTAACACTGCCACTAATAATACTAATACCATTAATATTTCTACTGCCACTGGTAACATTCCTCAGTCTGGCCAGTTGGTGATTGATGAAGACAATAAAGAGAATAAGATACCGAAATTGATAATTAAAAATACATTTTCAAATAAAAGTTGTTCAGTAGTGAAGACCATTACCACGAATACTGTTACATCAACAACACCGACACCAACACAACAATCCCTTTTAGTTGTATGCACAATTCATCTTCGATGTCCACCCATTGCCTTCAATATCATCATCATCAGTATTCTTTGTCGTCTGTTCAACTCCACCACTACCACCTCCTCCTTTTCGTGAGAGGATGATGACGAACAACAGTCAACAACATTCAAATAGTGAGATACATTCATGGAATAATAATAACAACAACAACCAGTGGCTATCATCAACACCGTTAGGAGGACATAGAAAGCAATTGGATTCCACACTGAATAATTCTGATAGTGGATTTCTCAGTGGTAACAATAGTCATTCATCAGGTTCAATAGATAATCGAAGAAATCAGTTTGATATTGTCAGCGATGAGTATAGTCGATTGATGGGATCTACTAGACCTTTGAATACACCGAATGTTGTTCACTCTCTGACTGATTTACTCATGAATTCAACGTCACCACCGTTTCAAAAATTAGAAGAACAACAACGCTTTTCGGCCTTTGGTGTTCCTGTAAAGACTACGAGAGACTCTTTAAGCAGCAATCCCACATCGAATTATTTTCATCGACAACATGACACAATGATTTTCAATCGCACCAAACCACCACTAACAACAACAACTCCTACTAATTTCGTTTCTTGTAATTCTAGTCATGACACCGTAAAGCCAACAACATCGCCACCGATATGGAGACCATATTTAGATTGAAGACCTTTTAATTTTTTATATTAGCGCCAAAAATCTGCTTTTCCTCATAGGCATATACATACTTTTGGAAAACACTTTTCATACTGTACATGACTGAGCCATACATCATGAGTAAATAGATGACACTCAAGAATCTACTTTGTATTCTACAAATTTTATTTTGCTTATCATTTTCGAGATAAACAGGTTGTAACTTTGAAATGCATTGTTAACTACTTTTGATTTCATGCATTTTTATTGGTTGATGTCCGAAAGTGAAGAGGTATAAGTGGGTGTTAAAAACAAGATATAAATTATAACTTGTGAGGTAGAGTAGAGCCTTTAATTTCTTGAAGGTATTCTAAGTGGAAGGATTGTTTAATTTTATGAAATTTTAATAACTGAGTGGTGAAACAGGAGTCGAGTTTAATGATCTACATAGGTTTCTCAAGATTAATCATGGATGGGGAAGGGTGAAAAGAACCAATGGAGTACTGGAGGTCTTTTCGTCCTATTTCGGGGCTCGCCGGTGTTAAAAACCCACCAGAGGCGTTCAAACCCCAGGGCCTTCCACTTACAAGGCCAGCAGGTGGACCATCCAGTCACTGAGACCTAGCTCAAGGACGAGACAATGAATTCTAACTTCTACCAATTCGTGATGTATTTAGAAGGACCGCCAACTAGTGCCCTCGGAGGGTACTCCATCCTCACTCCCCACTGGATAGCCCCCATTTCGTCAGAAGTTCTCACTAGAGCTGTAGTCAACTTCGTCTTTTAGCTAGGTGGTCACTAGCGAGCATCGAATTCCCTGGCGATGTGTGCGTACTGCCGATGTTTACCAAAATGGGACGAAACATATTTCCAGTAGTCCCTGGTTTTCAATGGTTCTCCAATTGATGTCAGCTCATGATGAAATCCTTCAACCCATCAAACCAAATTCCTACATACCAATACTTGAAAATAACTGTATATTGAGGAAGTGTGTTTCGACTATTATTATTATTATTGTCGTTGTTATGATTGTGATTTTGTCTGTTCGTGTAGAATAAAGAAGTCTATGTGATTAGTTATTGTTTTAACTCAAACAACCCAGATAAATTGACATGCTGATATTCTATGAGCTATTGTGAAGGGAAACCAATGAGATCATCAGTTTCTCAGTCAATCAACAGCTCTGAAAAATTCCTGTCTCATAATTATTTTATTTTATTGTTTCTTTGTTTGTTTGTCCCTTAAGTGCAATCTGCAATGAAAACGATAATTTATACAATGTTAACTCAATACTACACCATATCACTCACACGCCATTGAATATGATGAACTTATGATATGAACAATACATTGATTTTATAGACACAAGGACATATTCAGTGCCTGATTGAGGCGACCATATTGTCCTACACGCGTCCAGCTCATTCAAATCACCTAGAATAGAGAGAGAGAGAGAGAAAGGAGAATAGGAAGGGAATGAATGTGTTAAGCGTTATACTGAGTTGAAATGAGAAGGCTTCCCATAGTGGTTAAAATGACTCTAATCAGTCATCGACCTTAAAATATATATGTCAAGACGCCAGAACCACCAAAATAACTAACGCTTATACTCTCACACACGCACACACATGTATCTTTCAGTTAATTCACTTTTCAGGTCTCATCTGTTTTTACCAGTTTCATTTTTTGGTGAAAACAAAAGGGCGGAAGATACTACACGAGTTGGGATTGTGTCACTCATTAATCACACAGTTGGCCATACTTTTGAACACCGGTCAACTGAGGATTATTCATCATTATACCTGATACAATGAAGCAGTGAATAAAATGATAATTATTATTATATGATTGATATTCATCTAATTATTCAGTTGAATTACCACTATTGAAAGTGATTAGTAATCATCAGTTATTCATTCAGATTTCATTTTGATTGACCTATTTAGTTGTAAACAAATATTGTATGAGTATCATGCACAGGCCCCCTCCCGCCACACACACACACACACACACATACAAATGCATACAAAACCTGTTTAATTGAAGCTTTAGAGATAGACTTGTTATTATTTGTCGTATAATATTAGTGAGTAGATTATTCATTCATGTCAAAATTAATAAGAATTTTAAACTTCCTTGAAAGAGCCAAAGGTTATCTATTTGCCAGTGTGGCGTGCGCTGTTGATACGATTTATCTGTAGCATATGAAGAGATGCTCATTGGCATAAAAATACATCGTATAGCAGGGAGATAGATTTGATGACGGATGATGATACAGCGAGTGATACGGCGTTGTGGAGATACATGTGAGACGTGAAAAGAACACAACGAATCACAGTATGAAGGATGGCCAGAAGTAGCACAACACGTAAGATCTGTGTAAATGGTGCGTTGAAAATAAGGTGTAAATAATTTGACTATCTAGAGATGCCAAATTGTAAATAAGTATTCCTTTACCAAATCTCTCGTCATCATGCATCACACAAAGTGATTTCTGGGGAGTCTTCGTATGAATCTACTTCATTGAAGCCCAGGTACCACCAATAGACGTTATTGAATACTATTTACTTTTTAAAATCCGCAATCTCTGGGAGAATGTATACGTAGACTTTCCTAGGATTTAAATATCACTTTTCTGACTCACTTTCCCAACATAAACTCAGTTCGAGTATGTAAACCATTAACTATGTGACATGAAACCTTTAGACGAAGAGGCTAAGGCTTGATTTAAGTTCAGGAAGGTCAATATTGCAAAGCACTACCATATTTCTCCTACTACCTAGTCGAACTTAGGAACTTACACAGTAATGATAAAATTGTTGCCATGGGACCAAATAAGGGTCATAGTATCGTAATAATGAACCGAAAACGCTACTGAGAGATACAGTGACATTCTAGGCAGGTCAACAAATGATGTAACGTCAGCTTCGAGAACACGGAGAATAAGCATCTTAAGGATTCTCTTAAGAAGCAACTAAATGACAACAAGACCTATGAGGAATTTGAAATTTGCAAAATCTATTCGTACTGCTTCTCTTTTCAAACTAATTAAGGGAAATGGTTGTATAGAATGCAATACTATTAGCTACAGAAATGTAAATGTGGCGTTAGAGAACGAAAGATTTGTTACAGGAATGATTACTTGGGATTAAGTATCTCTATATGCCAAAATTGTCTACACCTTATCAACAATCAACATTTCCATATAGCTTCCGTGTTGTGTTACTTCTGGCGTTCCTTCATATTTTCTGTCTTTGTGTCCCTGTCACGTCTCCCATGTATCTCGCAAGGTTGTATCATTTGCTTTCTTTGACACCATATCTATCTATCTTCGTGCAACTTGATTTTTCTCACAGAGGAATGCCTCTTCATATACTACTGATAAGTCTTTATCAGTAGCACACGCCAAATAACGTCATAATTGTTTATAAAAGAACTAAATTCTTAACAACCGAACCTAATTAATCGTTTGTCGTACTAGTTACGCGAATGATCTTTACTAATCTTTGTTCTCCTCATCTTTCATTACTATTCTATTGTCTATACAACATTTCATATTTATTCATTGGGCATCATTGTAGGGAAAAAGTTTTAATTATGCTAAGAAATTCATTTCCAATCACGACGAATTTTCATAACAACAAAGTATGTTCTGTGAAAGAAAAGGTTAACGGTATTTTGAATAATTCACTGTGTAGCACATACATAAATATAGACGCACAGGATTCTGCACAAGAAGTTAAACAACTAATATTATAATTATTCGCAGTAATGATTTCTATTATTAGATAATTGTAGGCGATCTGAAATTCCTCTTAATTATTATTTGTTCCGCCCCGCCCCCTTTGAATGGAGTTATTATTTTAATTCCACGTGTTATAAAGAGTTAATTGCCAGACGCTTAGAATATTATAAGCATAATTGGCCTAACCACAACAGCGACAACAAGTTGAGGATAGTAATTAGGCGTAATTACATATCTGTGTTTTTTTTTACTGACTGAATTTATGATTCTATAATAACTGGATACAATAATTGACCATATGTTATTATCACTGGAGATTTTGAGGGGCTATCCGATGGAAGCGTATCACGTACAATATTATTCTCCACAGATTCCATGTAATTTAGTGGCTTGAATACATTTGCATCATAACCACATTGAAAAATGGAAAACAACTATTGATTTAGTCAATTTAGGTGACTACCACTAAGAGATTAAGAATAATACATTATGAAACAATAATATATGTTTTATGTAATTGGAGGTATCTGTGACCAAATGCCTTTGGGGGTGGAGATGGGGGAAGTTATCAACATATGACACATGACAGCTAAGCGTACATAAAAGAATATCATTTTGCACTAAGATTGATAAGGCCTTGATTGGGCACTAGGCAGTAACTCATATTATGCATCTAGTCCTCAGTGTTGGAACAGACCAAATTCTACTAGTCAGGTTTGCATCATGGCCATCATGCTAGGTGGCTCACTTTCATGATGCACTCTGAATTTTCGTTAGATGGTTGGATTGTCAGTCTGCAAGAACACCAAGGAAGTATCGATTACGGTCCTACAGGATGTCAATATAAAACCCAAATAGCTTAGTGGCAACATCTCTGACTGTAATACTACTGGGTAACCCGGGTTCGAATCCCTAAAAAGACATAGGTCCCATCAAGATTTCAGAAAGGCCTTCCCGACAAGTGTTAACAAGCACTAAACCTAGGTCCAAGGCTTCCTTCATTTTGTCTTCAACCACCTAACAAAACTGATAATCTCTGAAAGATGAAAAAAATTGTTACATGATTCCATCATAAGCTGATATTAGTTAGAGAACCACTGGAAAACCTGGGAGCGCTGGGCAGCTGTTTCGTCCCAGTATGGGACTATCCCTCAGTACGCAACCACTGGGATTCGAGCCCAAGACCTTCTGGTCACAAGGCGAGCTCGTAGACCATTAAGCCACTGGACCCGATCCAACGGCCCACGAATTCTAACTTCTGCCATTTCACGACATAGCGTGACCC